CTAAATATACTTGAAAATTGTTCTGCAAACATATCAACCAAGTGCTGAGGATTATCACTTTCCCTGTCATTATAACACAGTTTACTAGAAAACGAGTAGTATCTTTTTTTAGACTGAACATATATATTTCCATAGATTATTTGGAGATTCATATAGAGAATTTTCAATTTTATCTAAATGACTATGGTGTGCAACATCTATTAATCTTTTACATTCACTTCGAAGCCTCTTAAATTCTATATATCAAAAATCAAAGCAAGTACTTTTCAATTTTTTATGCTAGTATTTTTTTTAGTTTTAATTTGGAAATTCTGGTTTTATTAAACCAGGAAGGATAATTCGATTTAGTTGATCGATACCGTGGAACTGAAGAGTGCATTATGCTATAAAATTTATCATAGAAAGAATCCAAACAAGAATTTAACTAAATGCTAGTAAAGGTAGGTTTTAAATCCTTTGGCAACGACATTCTGTATGTGATTTACCAAACTAAGTGTCTTATAGTAGGGGAACTAGGGGCTTGTTGTAACAGGGGTAAGTTGTAACACTAAATTTTTACCCGCAATTTAAACTCTTTAACGTCAGGTTTTTTACTGACTTTAATTCTTGCACCATAAGACATCATGTCATCACAACCACTGTTCCTTGAGCCAGCACAGTGAGTGGATGTGTGCACGTGTTTCGTTTTGGCCATGTAATGTAAAATATTGCTTTAGTAAAATTTGGTTTTTCGTATTAGTTATTAATTAATTTAAAACTTTTAGTTTTGCATGTAGCTCAAAAATTACTCAGCTTTGATCTTCCTTACACATTTTGACGCTAAGCCATATAATTTTGTCGAAATGTAATTAAATGTAGAAAATTGTGCTACGGGGCATGTTGGAACAATAGCTTTGGGGCAAATTGTAACATGTTACAACTTATCCCAAATTCACTTCTACAAATCTCGTACCTAGCATACGAAAAGCGAGCCAAAATTTTGACCTATGCCGTATATCGCTTTCCAGATATACATATTAAGAAAAAGGAAGACAAACTCAAATCTTTAATGTTGACTCTTTTTCTAAAAGTTTCTTCCAGTTTTACTGAAAAAAAAAGTATATATTGAAGTGTTGTGTTGATTTTTGAAAAATAAAGTCTAAATATGTACCAACATCAGCTTTATTTTTACTGTTACTACCTGTCTCATGGCTGCTACAACTAGCCCCAACCACGGGGCAAATTGTAACAGTGCACTTTTTTTAAGGAAATGCCTGGTGTGAAGTGAAGATAAACAATTTTGGCCTTTTGCCTGTTCAGTCCAATAGGGGAATAGTTAAACTACCGATAGATACTTTTATAATGGTCAAACAGCTAACAGATACCAAATTATATTCGTTTTCCTAAAAACTGTTACAACAAGCCCCTCGTTCCCCTATATAAAGTTTGAAGTCCTTACATATACGTGCATATCTATCCGTTTAAGTTCCAAAGCTCCCATAGTGTATGTACACATTATGTAATTCAAGATATTTACAGTGAATACCAGTTAATTGATATGTTGATGTCTTTTTAGAGTTGAAGACAATCGTCAATGCTCGTGATATTGGCGCAGATTTTTAAGTCATCAACGAATAGCAAATTTTTGATTAAATAATAAACTGAGGAGATCATTTATACATATCAAAAAGAGTAACGCACCCAAATTAGATCCTTGCGGATCTCTAGATGTTGGTACCATCGATTTCAACAAATAATGGTTTTGATATACACTGCACACGACCAATTAAGTAAGAATAACTTGTTTAAATACTTTTCAATGCTGTTTTAAAGTCAGCGCCCCCTTATAACCGGAATCGCTACAGAGGTATAGCTTTGAAGTCTGAAATACGTAGATGAGTAATCAAATGATGTTGATCGTCCTCATGGTGACTGATGTGACCTTGAAATGTCAAAACATTAATTAGCATAAGTAATTAAATGCTGTAGAAAACATCAAACCGTAACTGTTCGAAATACATTTTTAAAAAATTGAAAAATACCGACATACATAAACGTAATCTGTAATTTTGTATGTTTAGTTGACTTCATATACGACCCGTGAAAAAACAAGAATTTAGGCAGAGAATGCTAAAGTCTGGTCAGTGCATATGAGCACAAACGCAGCGATTCCGGACGTTCGTTGGTGGGCAGCCGCGACCACAGCACCGTGCTGATAGATGACCACCAACGGACTTTACAGCATTTTATTTATTGCTCATTTCATTTGGCCCCCTCCGCTATCCGTGATGAATGTTCGGCCATGTATTACCGTGTCACTGCAACAGTGGACAGCTTTATTGGCAGGTCCCAACCAATGTTCTCAACTTTAAAGCGGATTTTATACCGATGGATTGAACTTTACAAGGAACAGATGTGATTGCACCCACATCGACTTGGACAAAATGAAATCTATAATTTTTGTCGTAAGTACAAAACCGACCCAAATTGACCCAGTGTCTTCTAAGAACTTTATCGAAAATCCCAACTGATCGATAATTTAATTGTTAAAGCTATTGTAGATTCAGGTTGACAATTTTACTGTTTTTACTAAAAAGTAAAGCCGAAAAATACTATAGCTTAACAAAATATTCTTGAGTTTTATTTGGACAGTGAAAACAAACTACAAAATGGAACAAATCAGGAAATCACCTGCTCATTTTACGATCTTTCCGTAGTCGCATTAAGAATAGTAAGTGGTTCTTTCCTTTGTCTAACAGCAAGCGGTAAAAATTGTCTAACTGATGAGAAAAGGACAATGTGAATGAAAACAAGTAATTATTCAGTATGACATAGAAACACCAACTGGTTCCTTATTCTTATTCGTAGAATTGAGATTTACGTCCAATAATGTATCAAATAATTGAGATACCAATATCATCATTTTATTCGCATATTATAGTAGTATTCCTTCATCAAAATGTTCATAGATAATAATAAGTAGACTTGAGGTACATAAATGCTGATGTTGATAGTCAAAAATTACATTAAGCACTGAGTTTTGTGTATAGTCTACTGCAAAAGAAACAAGACGTATTAATTTTGAAATTAAAAAGTACATGAGTGAATTTAGCAGCACTACGCTCTTGGCATTTTTATCGAATAACCATTACTTTGTAATTAATTGTTGAATTTTCTGCAGTCTTTCGATCTTTTGAAATGCTGTGTACACTCTCTTAATTGTATTGTTGCTTAAGAATTTGTAAGCTGCCTGCGATTGGTCAGTTTCCTTTAAAAACAGCCATTTCTCTGGTCAAATTTATATGCCTTGAATGACATGGCTCAAACTGTCTTCATTTTTTTCGATTTGAAAGCAAAATTCGTAATGCAAAAATGTTTGCAAAAACATCGTTCTATGTGGTGTTAATTATTTTAGGAAATTAATTTTTGAAAGTTAATTACCTACAGTTAACATAAATTATTAACCATATTATTAGCGTGTTTAATTATGAAACTGTTTGATATTTAGTTGTATATTGTTAACTATGCTTCTAACAATAACTGTCAAATAACAAATAATATGGTTAATTATCTCCACAAAGCCCTACTATCAAACTCGACCTGTGTTGAAAATCAATAACGTGATTGAGGGTGCAATATGTGGCCCTTGCAAATGCAGCAGCTAGCCACTTTCCCATGTTACCACCAACTGAGACCATTTGTGAAGTGTAGATTGGCTAGACAAAATACGAGAGACTACTAAAAATCCATTCCTCCTCAATTGTGCTTTAGCAAGTAAGAGAACGTATAAGATGCGGAAACAAATTCATTCCAATAAAGTATTTAAGTTAACTAAAGAACCAAAAATGCTCTAGAAATCTTTGAAATATTGACATTGTACTTTTTATCGATTATATTTATAGTATACACATATGTTCCATGAGAAATAAACTTTAACAATCGTTGTTAAGTAAAAAATCAAATGACACTTTTATATCATCATAATGATTGGAAAACGCATTTGTCAAGAAAACACTTTGTATGTTTACAACTATAATGAAACCGTACAATTCTTAGCCATGACACTATGTAACTCATACTTATTTTGTTATTCTATTTACTCAGACGTCCCAACAAGAAAATAAAACCTACAAATTCAGTTTTAATGGTAGCTGTATTCAATAAAAAGCAAATGTTCTCGACACAATTTAAATTGATTAATTACAACCTTTATCCGTCTCCGGCAATAAGATATTTAAAATGAATAATACGATCGGCAAGCTTGAAGCTAAGTAGATAGTACAAAATACTTAATGCTCTCCTCGGATTTAACAAAGCAATATTAATTTCAACCACGACGTTAAAATCGTCAAAGTTTGTACATTTGTCATTCGTATATTACGATTTCATAATATCGAGTTCGGTCTGAGTGCATATTGTTGAAGTTTTGTTTCGTTTTGTATCCCCAATAAAATTAATCCTGGCTTTTCTTCATGGCTTTGTCATAAAGAATTACTAAAGTTTCACCAAGTTTTATTTATGAAAGCCACAGATCATACAAGTTACTGCACTGAATAAACAGTGATTTAGCAAGCGACAGTTGTTGATAGATCATCAAACATGTAACAAAAAGTTGCAGTCAACGCAAACACAATTTAAAAATGAACTCAACTTCGTTATGGAAACACGTAGATAAAAGTAAGATAAAATGAAATAATCAAAAGCTAAAATTAACATTTTTGAACATACGCCCTCTCAGCAGTTGGTATTTGATTCGACCATTTTACCACCATTGTTCTAACACACTCTAAGTAGTGGTGTTCCACTTTCAGACCAACACATAAGGAATCAACTTGGAAAAAATTAAATATTTTCAGAATCTTACAATAGGTTCAGTGGATTTTTTTCCCAGTAATTAGGATTATTAAAATAAAAGAGTGAACAAAAAAGTGGAGTAATAATTTTTTATTTGCATTTAGTATTGGCATCGTAATTTTATTACTATTATAAATGAAACACTTCAAAAATGCTATTATTTCCAGAGACCTAAAAATGGAGAACGTAATACTAAACGCTACTCAGACTCAAATAAAAATAGTTGATTTTGGACTAAGCAATGTGTGGTCAAGCAGCAATCCTCTCAGGACACATTGTGGTTCCCCAGAATACGCAGCCCCAGAACTTTTCGTAGCTGGAAGAGAATATGGACCAGAAGTAGATCTTTGGAGCCTGTTAGTAAATTTTTGATAATTTTCAATAATGATAATAGTATATACAAATTTCTTAAAATTTATTTGCATTCCGGACACGGTGTGAAAAATTACAGACGGTGTATATACTGTTGTAAAATTAAAAATAAAATTATACGCTGCAGGGTATAATAAGTAGAGAGCGGATTTCTGTCGGGCTAGGCAAGGCCAAACTCGGTACGGCTCGTACGGGATGGGAATTCATTGCAGTTACGAGCTGCACATCGTTTATTTGCGATTAGAATAACGCTGCTTCATTGCACTTTGCTGTTAATTCCCGTTCTCATTTACTTAGACGTTTGATTAATAAATCGTTAATTGTATTTATGGAATAAGTAACGATTAAATTCAGTGATTATCTATCACCCGCTACTGAGTCCCGGCGATCCAGCGCGTCCCCACCTATAATCGTGACGTAGCCCGACAGAAATCCGCTGTCTAATAATAAGATATGCGAAGTACCGAAAGACTAAAAAAAATCAACAAAAAAGAATACGTGTTTACCATTTTTCCTCCAAGAATAAATAGAAAACTGGATTTATTTAATAATAATTTTTTCATTTTACGAGTATAGAAAAGTACCATAAGTTCTTCAAAATTTTGAACAATCACAATAATAAAAAACTTAATATTTTTTGCAGAGGTATAATTTTTTATGGAATGATGGTAGGACAACTTCCATTTGTGGGTGGTAGGAAAAACCAATTATCATCTCAGGAACGTAGAAAAAAACTTGTAACACAAATTAACCGAGGATTAGGATCAACACAACGACAAGCTTTGGCTCCGCTATCTCCAGAATTTCGAATGTTATTGCACAAATTGCTCACAGCAGATCCAACAAAAAGAATAACAATTAAAGAACTTCTTATACATCCATGGCTCACTGAAAAGGGAAAAAAGTGTATTCAAAAGCATCCACTTAAGGACTTGGATAATGTTGTGCAAACAAAAGTAATATATCTACCCAATGTTGTGTACTTTAATTTAAGTTGTATCATTCTAGATAATAAAACAAGTTGGTGAAATATTTCACACAGATGAGTGGACAGTAAACTCAGAGTTACTAAAACATCCTTATGGTAGATTAGCTGGAGTTTACAACATACTTAAATTCAAGCATATATCTGACCAATTTCATCTTGAACAAATTTCACCAAATATTCTACGTAATAAAAGAATCAAATCTGCGGTTGCAACTGCTCCTAAACCAAAATCTGCATCCGTTGTAAAATCACAGCATACCCTTTACAATCAGTGTATAGTTTTATTAAATAAAGTCTCAAAACAAGAAATCGAAAACAGAGCGAAAAGTGCAAACCCGGCTCTGCTTCTTTCAAAAAATGTTACCAAATTATCAAGAACAAGAATTGATCATCTGCAAACAACGAAGAATCAAACAAACCAAACTTATTCGAAAACTAATTCTGTAGTTGCAAATAGGAAAATTCAAAATTCTACACAATTGGCAGTTAGAAAGTACCTATGTTGACTGATTTCGTTTTCATAAGTTCTCAAACCAGTTTTCCAGATTACCTTCGAGAATACAAATTACTGATAACAGTCCAACTTCAAACGTAAGACGTCCATGCACGACAGGAACAACTCAGTATGCGAGATCTGTTAGAAAGAGCTGGTAACTTTTCACGAGCTTATCAATTTGCCTCGAATAATGAATATTAGTGCATCAGCAGGAACAGCGATGACGGAAAGAGTAAACAACCGAGACTTTCAACGGCGCCAAGTATGTGTGAATCCAGCAGGAATGGGGGACTGTCCAAAGAGCAGACCTTCCAGCAGTAAGTAACTCTATTTCAAATAATACTGATAATATACCGCCTATTTAGCTGTTCTTCGAAAGTTGAAATCAAAAGACCCATTAGCCAATGAACCTATAGCAAGATCTATTGCTGGGTATTTAATAAAAAATGTTCCGGAATATATGTTCACTGTAAGCACGTAAATACTGGCACATGAGGTAAGATGATTTATCGGATAAATTTTCTTTAGTGACGACTTTCGTGTAATCAATTTTGTGAAAATTGTACACAAGTAATAACAGATGAATATCATCTGATAGACCATCCGACCATGCAGCCGACAAAAATGCATTAATAAAAATAGTAATAAATTTGTTTTAGCGGATGCGGAAATAGTAATGGCCGAAGACTCATTTCTTTCGTGTCGTATTTGCATCTAAGTGTAGGCAAAATATATTCTCGTGACATTGTAAAAAATTTATAAATAAACTATTTTATAATAATTTTAATTTGTCTACTTTTATTATAAAAAAAACACAAAACATGAAAATTCATTTAATTTGCTTTAAGGAGTGTTCATTTTATTAAACGGACACCTTTAAAGGAACGCCATTTTTCTAATTTTTAATCTAAATTATTCTAGTTTTTATATATGAAAGCTTTAAGTTGTATCTATTAAATGCCATTTTTGTTTTCAAAATAACGTTATTTCTTTTTAAAATGAAGCGAATCTCCATTGGGGCAAGAAAATTATTTTTGCAAAAGTGATGCTACGAAAAATTTCCGTTGGGGGGACTGCCTAAAATAACTAAGTGTTCAAAATCAGCAGTGTTCCAAATAATCAAAAAGTTTGGGGAGTTTAATACTTTAGAAAATTTGCTCAAATCCAGACCGAGAAAAGGCCCGCTTAACGAAAATATTGAGGAAAACATCATTAAACTGCTAAAATTAACGAAATGTATGTCTGTGCGGGAAATACCGAAGAAGCAAGGGGTTACCGTAGGTACTGTCCAAAATATAAAGACTCGGAATAACATTAGAACGTATTAAAGCAAAAAATTCCAAAAAGAAGCGAAAAGCAGCGCATACAGTTTCAAAAAAAAAAGCAGGAAGTTATAAACAATTTTGGTCAGGAACAAAAATCGTTGTGTTTTGATGGACAACGAAACGAAGGTTAAAATGGACTGCAATACACTACCCGGCTCCCAGTTTTATAATGCAGTCGTAGGGGAAGATGTCCTCGATGACATAAAAACAAAAAAAATTGAAAAGTTTGGGAAAAAAGTCTTAGTGTGGCAACCGATTTGTTCTTGTGGGCTAAAAAGTTTTAGTTTTTTTTTACGATTGGAACAATTGGGGGCGATGATTACAGGAAAGAATGTATAAAAACGCGATTATCGCCTGTTTATCGCAAACATCATATCCCTCCATCGTTTTGGCCAAATTTGGCTTCGGTTCACTACGCTGGTGCCAATCAGGAGCTTCTTAATGCCAATAATGTACAGTTTTTAAAAAAGGAAGATAAACCACCCAACTGTCCTGAGCTTCGTCCACTTGAGCGATAATGGGCAAATATGAAAGCAGTGTTAAGAAAAGATGGCCGAACAACATCATGACTTGGAGAATTTAAAAAAATGTGGCCTCCTGCTACGAAGAAAATCACAAACAAACCTGTGCAAAGAGTGATTCGCGGTGTTCGCGCAATAGTTAGAAAATTTTATAGTTTCTGAATATAATTGATTAGAGAATAAGAATAATTATTTCATTTAACATTGTTAAACATGTTTATAACAAAAAAAATTAAATTAGCCCAAAGTACTCGAATTAGTAACAATTTTTCAGTGTCCGCTTTATAAAATGAACATTCCTTATTATTGTATACAATGAGGTAAAAAGAAATAGAAAACTGTAGAAAAAAGAAAAAGTGAAACGAGAAAATAAATAGAACTAATTTATAAGTAACTGAATGAAAAAGTAGGTTAAGTCTCACAATAAAGACTTCCATCAATACAAAAACCAGTATCAATATTTAATTTATTTACATCCTATGGAAATACGATTAGTATTACACTGCACGTATCTGAATTGACACACTTGCTGAAATGTTGAGCGGAACATTTTCAAATGGGAAAACTCACTGGAAATAGAGGTATAGTGCTTGATTAATGCACTACTATTTTTGGAGAAATGTTTGACTTTTTGTTTTATTCGTTTTTATGCGATTCATTGTGACTTAAAATTCTGAAAGTTTAACATGGTGACATTTAAAGAAAATGTTGAAATCAGTCAAAAATTTGAAAATAATTTTTTTATAGGAAGTAGAAAATAAAAAAATGCCCCTTTGATAAGACCTTAAACAAATGTACAATAATTTGTTTCGTCTGAGAAATACCTCAACTTTTTGATTCAAAATTTTACTAACTTATAATAATAATAAAACTAAAGTTTCGTTTAATTTGATACGGGCTATCGCTAACGAAGTATTAGCCGAAAACCAGTGGATGCAATGGATTTCACTAACGCATTCCTATTTTAATCATGTAATAAATACATATAATCCTTAATTCATTCCGTAATTGCCACACTCAATTATGACTTATTCAACCCTACTCACTACGGTTGTAAACTATAACTAGGTTTTCTAGAAAGTTGAATCTCTGCCGTCAGCTTAACAATTCACAATTGTAATGAATATGTAGTTACTTCACAGCATTGTTAATTGCATTAAAGTTCCACATATGAATGTACACTAAAATAAATTAACATTTCACAAAAAATAAACACAAAGACATATTCCAAAACAAGCTTTTATTAGGGTTTGGTTTCTAGTATTGGCAGCCTTTAAAATTATAGCAAAATTTCAAGCAACCCTTGTACTTCGCTTTTCAACTCACCATTATTAACTTAAATCTGCGACAAATAAAAGTACGAAAAAGACGTCACGGAAGCCATGTAACGTACTGGTCATAAAATACTGAACTCTAAAACTTACATCAATATCACTAAACGGGTTTACCACATTACGGACCTAATCTCCAAACAGATAGCGCATAAGTTAAATTTGCAACGAAAAATTGAAAAATGTCTGTAATTGGATGACAATTATGTTGCCCAAAATTAAAATTCGACAAATCCACAATTATCCGTTCATAGTTTTGTACCAATAATGATAAATTATTTGCATTATTGCTTCCCGAATACATTCCGAATATAAGCCAAGGAAGTATTGTAGCTGAGTCCGTCAGCCGACTGGCTACTTTAATATTTTCTTGATGTGTAATGACCTCTAGAGTACGAAAGAATAGTTTTCTCATTTCCGTCTGTCTGTCTGTCCACCCTCTGTGTCGATTTTTGTTAGACAGATAATCTCCGAAACTACTGGAGCGATTGTTGTCAAATTTTATATGTGTATTGTGAATATCATTAATTAAATGGTAAAACGATAACCAAACTTTACTAATTATCCCCACCAACGATGTGATGATGTCGTCCCAAAATTGTATGTGGTAAATGGGTTTAATTTGTACTCCTATAAACTAATGATGAATTTATCCGCGTTGAGTTTTTACCCGAGTCATCAAGATTTTTGGAAAAAAAATCATAATTGTGTATAACAATATTTTCAATTTACTTTTGGATCTGCAAAACTGAATGATTTGAAATATTTCAGACGTTTTAAATTTATCGTAAGCATGGTAAATTTTTAATCAAAATATACTTGTTAATCCCCTCCAAAAAATTCATGACGTCACTTCAAAATTTTGCCGAATACTATCTAAAATGTGATGAGCCCATACCTATTTGATTTTTTTTAGAATTGCTTATACCGGTGACTCAAAAAAACTAATGAATGAGTCCATTTATTTTATTGATTAAATCAGAAACGGCTCACCCTATTTTCCCGAAAATTTGAAAATACAGCCAACCACTTTGAAATATTTCGTAAAACCACTTTAAAAATTACATTTTAACTAATGACTTTCATTTGTCTCTTTTTGTAGCTAATTTGTACATCCTGTGTCAATAGTGAATAATTCTTTAAATAAAAGAACAGTCACTAGTTAAATGAATAATTCATAAGTTTTTTGTCGGTCAGTATATTATTCGCAAAATAAAATTTTATAATTTTTCCAAGAAGCCATATTTGTTCGTCTGTACGGGAAGTTCTGTAAATAACTTTTAAATCAATTTTTACATAACTGGTGTTCAGTAGAAAAGGTCACCAAGTTGGCCTTGATTCTTTTTAAACATTGTGTGAAGTATGTCTACAATGTGGTCTAGAATAAACCTAACGTTGAATCCACGACACTGACAGCACGGAAATGTCTATTATACAGAACAGCTGTGCAGAACAGTGTAAATTAATAAAACACATGCGTTTTACGATACGCTTTTTCTTGAGAAAAGCAACGCCAAATTGACCACATTTTCAATTGAGCACGCATTATAAACATTAACACTTACTAATTAATTCAATGTACAATGTTTAATTAGGAAATATCGTATTTTCCTTTTAAAAAGGACAACAAAGGGTAAAAGATTTTTTTGTTTTGCGCAACAATTTTGAGTATGTTCACAACTGAGTTTTTTTTTTCTATACCTTCCTCATTGCCCCACACAAATAAGACAATTTTTAAAAAATTAGGATATTTTATTTTAATTACTGGCACACTTTTACCAAGTATGCAACTATAAATAAAAAATGTTTTACAACGTAAAGGAAATTTTTCACACCAGTGTGGTTAAGTCAATGCCATGGTACATCTCTTGGTTGTGAAATGGCACCTAGTTTTATATACCTTGCCGTTTGTGATGCAGTTTGCACTGATGACCCAAGTGTAGAACTTACTGAAGAACGATGTCCCTCATTGGGTACCTGGGATCCATCACCTCTTAAGACTGCTATTGGTTTCCATGAATTTATATAATTCACTACAATATTATAGATTAATTTGAATGTGAAGAGGTGTACTTAAATAATCTTACTTTTGAACATTCTAACACAGCCATCATCACCACTTGAAGCTAAAATCGTTCCTGTTACATTCCAACATACTCTCCATACAGTGGAATCATGATCATCAAATTGAGCAACTGTTTGGGCATCTAATTTTGTTATTACATTCTGCAAATTTGGATTATCACTAAAAATGTAACATTAAAATTTAGAACTTCTTTGTGAGTGTGAAGATCTTACTATACATGAGTTAAATTAACAATTTTTACATCTTTGGTGGCAACAGCTAAAACATGAAAACTCCGCCCAAGATTTGGCGAAAAAGAAATATCATATACAGGATCCGTAATATTGGTAATTGCGTCAATTTTTGTCCACCTCCTGCTACTCTCACTATAGACATAAATGAAAACTTTAACCCCATTTGCAGGATTAGGATCATCACTTCCTACAGCAAGCATTAATGGGTGCATTCTGCATAAAAAACTCATAAATATAACTATGTTTAAAATTATTGAGATTATACTTCGACAAGCTGGGATTCCAACTCAAGCAGCTACAAGGTAATTTACACTGAACTTCATACTGTAAGGTCCACTGACTGAGATTCATAACATCGGGTGCTTCATAAATTCTGATGATTCCTTCAGCTGAACATGTTGCCAATTGTAGACCCTGAGTTCTTGGCCCAAACTTCACATCTGTGACTGAGGTTCTTGAATCAACCAAATTAGTTCTTCGTACCCAGTGTCTTGTACCTCTTTCACCTGGACCCGGAGTCTCACCCACTAAACAGCAACATTTAAAAAACTAAATACTTTTATGAATGAACTGCATACCAATTTCCTCCCAAACTGCTGCTGTTCTATCAAATGAGCAAGTAGCCAGAACTTGGCCGAACTCAGGGTGTGCCCATGTAACTTTCCACACTGAACCACTATGTGCTTTCCAGCTGGACGTTAAGGACCATTTTCCGTCACTATTTTGATCCCAGACCTACGCAACCACCAATTTAACATATTTTTTAAGACGCATTTTTCAAAAGTATAACCTTAACGTACTGATCACTCGAGCAAGTTGCCATTCTTTGGCCGTAAAAATCGTACGCCACATCATGAATTAAATCTTTGTGTTCGGCGGTTATTTCCTGAGCTTCGAACATATTGGGCAAATTCACAACATTCCACTAGAAATTAACACCGAAAAAATTGCTGAAATTCAAAGCAATACAACATAACCTCCTCAATGTTAAATATTTTTGGCGTTTGGAATCTTGCGCTTGCGCAGTTAACATCCTGGCTAGCGAGCCACCAACGGTAGTAATCACAGGCGTTTAAGATACCGGCGATTGTCCACAGCACAGACCTTATTTTGAAATAAAAATGTTTGTATTTAAATTTTAACTTTATTTATTGAAGTTCAAAAAAATGTGATATATATATTATATATCTTCACAACAATCAAAATTTCTCATCTTCTGCAATGGAGAGCATTTTGAGCATCTTTTATAGAAAACAGAAGTTTAATTGTGGTTTAGGTTGTTATTTATTTATTGTTTAATAATTTATTTTGTCATTTCAAACAGAAAGAAAGTATAATTGTGCTGTATCAATGAATTCATGAAAAAAAACTCTCTTCAAAAATGTATTAATAATAATATGATAGTGCCATTTAAAAAAATCAAGAAGGGCTTGCATCTCGAAAACAAATGAAGCAAAAACTTTTTTTAATCAATAATAATAATTAGAACACAACTTCTTGTACCCCTATACGTAATTTCAGTTGATTTATACAACTGGTTCTCAAGATATTTAATCGTTTCCATACATTCTAGCGACCCTAGGGTATATTAGCAAGTTCCTCAGTGTTATCCTATATCTGAAAAAAAAGGAGAAAGGTATACGCCAAAAAATCATTGATTTTAACCGATGAAAATGTGGCTTATTTACTTTTAAACGCTCAAGATGAATACCATTTGTACGAAGTATGTATATTAATATTTTCCAGACGCATAATTGAAGGTATATTTTATAGGTCATTCTTATTGTTGGTGTTTCAGGAGCCTGTAGACACCAAAAATTAATTTCCTTATTGACGACTAACGTAGAAGATCATGAAAAACAATTTTCTGGAAATAATTAGAAAATATATCGAGATTCGACCGAAAATAACGTCCCATAGCAGATTTTTCGTTAATTACCAGAAAAGAAAATGTACTACCCAACCTGTGGTAATCCACAAAGTTGGTCGTGTTCCCCTGTATTGTTTCCAACATTTCGTGGAACATCTGCAAGCCTTCTGGCGAATTCTGCAGGAAGTATGAGTGATACCATGCGTCATGGGGGATGGTGCTGAGCCAGTGTTGTGGAAGGATATGTAGACGAATCCGAAAGGACAAAAATTAATATCGGTACAAAAATTTTAGGATAAGCGGGTCCCTCATCTAAAGTTCAACACAAGGAAGTCCAACAAGTACATCAGTCAATAGTACCGCCTTCTTCATATAAGCAGTAGTGTTAATTGTGTGATCAATATTAATAATAACTGTTACTCTAATAATAATTAATTAATTAATATTTGTAACTTGTTCGATTTTTTTCTGATTTCAATAAAAATTTATTTTGAAGTTAAATATTTATAATTAAAAACATTTGCAAGCGGCTGTTTTATTTTATTATTACGGACTAGTCCATAAAGAGCCACTTAATGGGCGCTAAACGATATCCTAAAACGTAAATTATATTATTATACAATCGGGCATATTAGGTTTTTAAACGAACTTAAACACTTATCAGCTATCACAAATCTACAACAAAACGTTAGTGAGTGTGTGTACTAAACTAAAGCCAAGGTTAAGACCAACAGACTGTTCTGTGGCGGAAATGACAAAAATAGCATCGTAGTTTATTCGGCACTGGTTAGTACTGGCCTGATAAAATTGTCAAAGTGAGCATGCGCGGTAAAACGCGTTTTTTTGAAAATCGCAATAAAAGGTGCTTGCATCGATGCCAAAAATTTACATTGCTGAGATAAGACGCACTCTCTCTGTTATATTCATTCCTCCATGCTTCCATTACACAACACGCATTAAGTAACTTCCGAAATTTGGCGACGTTGGTGGTGATGAAGTTGTGATGGAAAGTTTGTTGTTGTTTCAATTTTAATTTATAAAATAGTTGCCTGAAAATAACTTTAATATTTAAAACATACAAAATAAAATAGTGTTACGTAAATAGCGGTCATTTATAAACGATGTTATTTGACAAGGCCATTTTGTTACTTACAGTTCAAGGTAAGAAATTTAGAAATTATATTAAACAAAAATAATAAAATATATGTGACGATATGAACAAAAACAAAAAGTAATTCTCCTTAAAAACTTTTAGTATAATAAAAAAAACTTATACAAAACTAGAGAAATATTAATTAACTATAATTTTTAAATTTTTGTAACCTTTGAACCTTCTTTGGGGTTATGGAATTTATAATTTTAAAAATTTTTGATATCAAAAAATTTGGAATGCTTAATTTAACAAAAACCATGTTTAAAAATTCTAGTTTTCGATATTGATGAAAATGATATAAGAAATATTATTTTTGCCTGGAGGATATCAAATCATAGTCATATTGATCATCTTCATCATCTTTTGACTTACTATGGTCCACACATTTCCCTCGGTCCATCACCTTCGTTAAAATTTTCCAGAAATATTTCCTCCTTATTGTTTATTGGCTGCGCAGGTGTTACCTGTGCTTTTTTCCTTTTATAAAAAATTAGTCGAAGGTTATTTCGACAGAACTTCCTCCGCTCAATACAGTACAAGAAATTCTGCTTCTTTGAAAAATTATAAAATTTAATTTTGCGATTTTGGTTAGTGATAATCTCTATAAGCTGAAAAGCAGTGGCGTAAATGACACTCTGCAGCCCTCGCGCCCCAGGGGTGTATATTCCAAAGCACCATAAGTCAAACTGGTTATTGTATAAACTCAGTTCACAGCTCCATTATGGCAATAATGGACAGTAATAATCCTTGCGGTTCGAGTCCATAGTCAGTTTAACTTATAAGGGTGGTTTGACTTAAGCCGCTTAAGTCATAAAAGTTTTACAAGGTGTATGGCAAATGCCGCAATTATTACGAATTTTGTCATATATATCATTTCAAAATAATTAGGTATAAATAAGTTGTACGCCTCGAATATTTTTGTCTATAGTAGTGTACTTACTATCCCACGGCTTACATATTTTTCGAGCAAACCTGATCCAAAATATACAGATTTATTCACGTTTGTTACAAGCTGAGCCAGCGCAGTGTTGCCGTGTTTAACGAACACGATAATAATACGTAATAACAATAAAATGAAGGCTTTTGTTTGCCTTTTAGATGAGGATGGTTTGCGGTAACGCTGTGTTGATTGAGATCGGTAGATGCGTAAGCAACTTTCGTGTAACGGTCAAACAAAGCAATTGCTGTCATCTTTCTTTTTACTTCTAAATGTAAACTAAGGAAGTACTGTAACAGGATCCAGCCGACGAATGGCTACTTTAATGTTTTCTCGACATTTTATGGCCCCTAAAACATGAAAAAGTATATCTTCCGTTTCTGTCTGCTGTCGTCTTTGTCGATTTTTATTAGACAAATAATTTTGGAAATTACCAGACCGGTTGTCAGTTTTGTATGTATGTTAGGAATATCGTGTAGATGGTAAAAAACTACTAAAAATTTGTTTCATCATCCCCACCAACAATGGGATGACGTGTGGTTGATTTTTTCAAAAAAAAAGTCAAAATTGTATAACAATATTTTGCAATTTATTTGAAACTGGAAAACCGAACGTTTTGAGATCTTGCAAGCATTTTTAAGGTATAGTAAACATGGTAAATCGTCAATCAAAATTTGTTTGTTTATTCTCTCCCAAAAAATTAATGACGTCTCAAAATTTTACCGAAAAAATCCTGTATAAAATATATACATTTTTATATTTATTAATGTATTTATAATTTTTAGTATTACTTATACAGGGTGACCTCACAAAAAAAGGAAGAGTCTAGTTGTCACCAAAATTGGTCGATTATTTTATATTACGTCCGAATCGTCATCCGGAGTGCTACGAGCTGTCTCCAGTCTTACAGAAAAATTTTAAGCCGATGTCGTTAAACTTAATTAAGAAATTTTTTTGGCAGGCATTTGCATAGACGAAGATTCACGATTCCTTCCTCGTATATGGGCTAAACGTTCGATATCTTTTCAATTAACATATCGTGAATCTTTTCGTTCAAACAGACATTTATATTAAAATTAGTAACGAATTTAATAAACATGTCTGATCATGCTCAGCAACATAACGTCATCTCAAAATTTTGCAAAAGAAATAGTACTTAAATTTTATAAAATGAGACTTCTCTCTATACACGTGGTTTCTGAATCGGCCTTAATTTTTTATTCTGGACATCCGGATTTTTGGAAAAAAGTTCAAATTTTATAATAACATTTTACAACTTAACTTAGAAATTGCAAAACCGAATGCTCTAAAATCTTACAATAGTTTTAAGGTTATCGTAAGCATTGTAAATCACTAACGAAAATTAAATTTTTAGCCCATCAAAAAATTTTATGACGTCATTTCACAATTTTGCTGAGTAAAGTTTATCTAAAATGTGGAAAAGATTTAGGGAATCTACAGTTTTAATTTACCAGTTATTTATATTTTCAGAATTGCTTATAGTTAGCTCATTTTTACAAAATTTTGGGAGTACTATGCTGTTGTTATTAAAATGTACTTATCCAAATTGATATTGAGATTGAAAAAAAAAATCAAACTCTATTCGTCACCTTAGAACTGGTTTGCCGCATATCCAGATCGCGTCCGAGGGATTTTCGCCTCTACTGCTTGGTGCAGATTTGCCGCATGTCGCACTTGGGCGAAGCGAAACATAGTTTAGATTCAGTGCTGATTTGCCGCATGTCCAAGCAGAAATCGATACAGTACCGTTATCCGTTTTTACGTACTTCCTTGCTGTTTTGCTTTTCAGCGTTAGGTTTGGGGTTGGGAAAGAAATCGTATTCAACTTCACGCGCAGAACAATAAGAATAATGTGAAATAAATAAAAAAGAGACTTAACAATTTTGATGAATCTGAAATTAAAAAAAAGCAACTGTAATTTGTGCAACTCTTTTTCTGTTGTTATAGATGTTACAAATATTTTCAAATTATTAGTTTCGAAATTTTACAAATTTAAATTTCAAATAGATTTGTTGTTCGATAAACAAA